AGATGATATCTTGTGGTACATACTGTTTTACTTTATACATGTAGATATATACATACAAAAGACACTATGTGCCAGGTCAGCACATAGTGGTAGTGGTTGTTGTCTAGGTGCCCCGGAGCACCGAGCCTAACCCTAGCTAGGCTTAGGGTAAGACCTTTCTTTCTCTTTTCAATCTCTCTGGACCAAGGCTTGTATAGCCAAGGTCACCTGACATTTAGTAAGTAATAAATATAAATATAAACAGTAATTCATCAGCAGGATGGCAGACGGTCGATGTACACAAAAATGGGGATTAACAAATAGGATTAGCATCTTATAAATAACAGCAATTAAATGTTTCAAGGCATATAGATGTCATGGCTCCAGGGTAATGAGCCTTTGCAATTAAATGTTCTTCAGACAATGGGTGTTGTAAATCAGTTGCTATGACAGTACACAAGTGATTTGATGCACTTAGCAAGATAGGGCCAGTTTTATTACAATATAGATCATTTATTATCGATCAGATCATCTTGACTGGGTGCCGCCATTTTGTTTGAAACAATTGCAAGTGATATGAGAGGTGGAATCTGATTGGTCAATAGGAGGGACATAGAAGGGACTAAACTTGAAATAGCCACTGGTGTCTGTATAATTGACCTGGAACTTTCAGCCATGTCGGCAAGGGTGGAAACTGGACTTTTATAGTCAGTTAACGCCCTTGCCACGGGAAGATGGCACTTGTCTTAAAAAATAAGCTGAGATTTTACCATGATCGGGGGTCACTAGATTCAAATACTGTAACAGCAGATCTCAAGGACTCCATGACCCTCCTTGTTTGAAACACCGATCCAGGTTTAATTTGGGAGCATATGATGATGAACAATGTGTCCTTCACCTTGGTTATTGTCAGGACAAAATGGAATAAGGGCCCTTATTGACTCACTGGAAGTGTAAAAATTTAATTTTCAGAAAAGTATGTAATAATGATGTGAAAATCATCAGACATACTTAAATTGTTGACAACAAGCCTATTTTCATTTTTACACTTGAAGCTTTTAACGTCTGGCTTGTTCAAGTACACAAAAATGGCTAAATGGATCCAAAAGGCTGATTGTTCCAACTTGAGTGAGTGAGTATGGTTTTACGCCACTTTTAGCAATATTCCAGCAATATCACGGCGGGGCACACCAGAAATGGGCTTCACACATTGTACAATGTCAGGAATCGAACCAGGGTCTTCCGCGTGACGAGCAAACGCTTGAACCACAAGGCTACCGACCGCCCCGTTCCAACTTGAAGAGAAAGTCTAAGTGTGAGGAAGTTCATGACAAGTGCATGTCGTGTCACTACCTACACAGTGTCTGACATAGTATTTACTCCCAATACATATATGTAACCAGCTTGTCTTAAAACTTACATGTCCACAGTTGAGAATACATGCTGGAGGAGATAATCATTGGCTTACTTCACTGTGTGCCTTTGATTTTTACAGCTTTATAATCACAAAGCTTGCTCTTGCTCTCATTTAGTGACTCATATAAATGTCTCATCATTGTCTGTGTCGCAATGCACTTTCCTACGGGACAGTCTGACATGTTGGAATAATTTCATCTTTCTGACAGAAATGTTACTAGCCACGAGGCAGTGGGCAGCAGGTATTTTGGACACTGTATCGACATCTCCCAAGATTTCAGCTTGGGTCAAATACTTGGTGTTCAAATATTAAAAACTTGCTTCATGAAATCTTCTTTTATCAGCCTTTTCGGCAAGTTTTAACTTGACCTCTGCATTTAATATTGAAAGAAGTACAAAATAATGATATGATGAAATGAACAAGTCTAGTTCTCATTCATATGAACATGTCTGAAAACTTTGTATGAATAATACTTAAGTAAAGCACAGGAGGTTATCTAGACTTTCTCAGAGGACGATATTTGTCCCCTAAGTATGGTGAGGTGAAATGGGGATTAACGTCGCGTCCAAGATTATTGCACTTAAATAGCGGAGTGCATGCACGTATGTGTGGCTACTTGTACAAGTCCAGACTGATGCCGATTAATAGTGCTAGCACACTTAGATACCATGCCTCAGTTTAACATGAATACCCAACTCAGACACAGTATACCGACTCCGAGACGACCAGTCCTTGTTTTAGCCCCTTAATGCCGAGCGCCAGACAGGGTAACAACAAGTACCATCTTTTTACGTCTTTTGGTATGACGCGGCTGGGGATCGAACCCCCGGACCTTCCGCTCTCCGTGCGGACGCTCTACCACCAGAACACGGAGGCGGTCCCCTAAGTATGGAGCGAATATCAGTATAAATTCTCCTAACTGGAATTAAGCGTTTCACAATACGTGTCAATAGTCATAATAGTTATAGTGAGTGAGTGAGTATGGTTTTACGCCGCTTTTAGCAATATTCCAGCAATATCACGGCGGGGGACACCAGAAATGGGCTTCACACAATGTACCCATGTCGGGAATCGAACCCGGGTCTTCGGCGTGACGAGCGAACGCTTTAACCACTAGGCTACCTGACCGCCCCTCATAATAGTTATAACTAATGTTATGGCTTTGTAGAGGTAAGTGATGGAGGTAACTGTATGTTGCCGATAATAACACCAATGAAGAGGAAGACGCTTTTGTGCTTATGTTTCCATTATTGCAATGTTAAAATACCTCAGAATATAGGAAAATAAGAATTTCAAAGAAATCCCAATTTGAACTAAAAAATTATTTTTCCCAATTTTCAATTAAGGGCACTTTGGTTTGAACAATGTTGAATCCAAGATGAATTGTTGGGTCGACATAAAAGATATTGTGTCTTCATGTAGGAAACGTTATATTCGGAGTCAACCTGACATGGAGACACATCCGTGAAACATCATAAACTTCTGTGATCTTGTCTACAGCCACTCGATTGAGGATGTGGATGGAGCCCTGGCAAAAACTGTTTTGAGATACACATATAAAACAACCTGATCATGCATACGCTATATCTTTACACCGATGTATAAAAGTCAAACGTGCATACATAGACGGAAAGAAATTCGGACGTTAGCGACTTTTTGGGTAGTTTTTTTGTTATAATCATAAAACAATATGTCACATAACTAACCATGGGGCCGGAGGTCCTGTGGGTATTTGGTACTACTCCCAACCACCCGATCCGATTACCTGAGTTACCCCTCCCAGCCCTATATAAAGATGGTACTTGTTGTTACCCTGTCTGGCGCTCGGCATTAAGGGGTTAAAGCAAGGACTGGTCGTCTCGGAGTCAGTATACTGTGTCTGAGTGGGGTATTCATGTTAAACTGCGGTATGGTATCTAAGTGTGCTAGCACTATAAATCGGCATCAGTCCGGTCTAGTACAAGCAGCCACACACACACACACACACACACACACACACACACACACACACACACACACACACACACACACACACACACACACACACACACACACACACACACGTACATGCACACAATCTTGGACGCGACGTTAAACCCAATTTCACCTTACCTCACAAAGTTTGAGTTTGATTTCCAGAAGTAATGTTTTGCGGACTTTTAGAGGCAAAAATGAGAGACTAACATGTTATTTGCCTCCCTTTCCCACCTCCCCAAGGAGAAACCTCACATGCAAGTTAAGGCTACTTGTGCAGAAAATATATTAGGAAAAATATATATATTGACAATTTCTTACCATGATAATGTGATTACTTCCTTGCAGTTTCATATTGAAGATTTGATGATCCGTTTGAGTGAGTTCTGCATGCATATATCTTTATCATGTTTATATATGAAAACATTTGAATAACACCTCTAATAGCAGACACTGAGCACACATGCCAGCATGGACTCCCTGTTAAACACTGCCGGTAAGTTAGGTATTCAGCACAGGCTAAGAATAAGGGAAAATGTCGATACAGCTAATTATTTGAATTTGGTTGGATTTTGAGTTATTTTCTAATTTTTATAAACCTATTCATTGGGATCACTATTAAGTAAGAGACTTCTTTCTATAGGCATTAAAACCTATTGTGAGGTTTTACTTTCCAGTCGGGTTAAATCTCATAAACAGGGACGTTGTAATGTCCCTGGGATTTTATATAATATCCCAGGGATTTTATAGGATATTCAAGTCATATTTGCTATAATATCCCAGGGATTTTATATAATGTCCTGGGTATTTTATTAATGTAACTTCCGTTCAGATTGTAACATGTAATGAAATGTAAAATCAAATGAGAAATGTTTTCTTTATATTCCCAAGGATCGAACTCGCAACCTTCATAACTGTAGCCCAGTGAGTGTACCACGAGGCTACAGAGGTGTTGATAAGCCTCACTGGTTTTTAGAATGTCCTTTTCAAGACCCGTACGCCAGCAACAGATATTTTACGTGCGTTTCCTAAGGTTCATGGAAAGTATGTTGGAAACATAAAAATGTTGATAAATGTTGTCTGAAGTTTCTTTTTTCGGTTTATAAGTATGGAAAAACACTTTTCCTCGGTTTTGGTAGACAGAGCATGCCCTGGGGAGAGGGAAAAACCAAGGGGGCGAAGCGTAAGCGTGTTTTCTCCAATACATCATTCTTATTTGGAGCCAAACGGACAGTAGTATTGTCATGCCTCAGTAATGTCGATATTGTAGAATGTTGCTCATGTTAATACCGGTAATCCTTTTTTTACAGGCAGTTGGGAGACTGAATATCACTCTGTGTAGTCATGTACACATTCCCCTCATTTACACCCTCCCTCCTCACTCCCTCAATAACACCCTCTTATTCAATTAACACCCTCCCTCCTTCACTCACTCATTCACATCCTTTTGAACACCCTTAACCAACATCCTTACAAACAGAGCCTCTCTCTTGTACACTCTCCCAACCAACAACCCTTCCTTCTTCACTCACTCGTTCACGACCTTTTGAACACCCTCTTTCCCAACCAGCACCCTCCCTCCTTCACTCACTCCGTGCTGACTCTTCTCACCTTCCTGTGTTTGTTTCAGCGATGCCATGGTTCGGCATGGACATCGGCGGGACACTGACGAAGCTGGTGTACTTCGAGCCACGAGACATCGCAGCCAGCGAGGAGCAAGAGGAAGTGGAGACACTGCGGACTATCCGCCGCTATTTGACGGGGAACGTCGCATACGGCAAGACAGGGATCAGAGACGTCCATCTTGAAATGCCCAACCAAGTGATAGGAAACAGACGTGGATCCCTGCACTTTATACGTTTCCCCACCACGGAAATGTACGCTTTTATTGATCTAGCAAAATCCAAGAACTTTTCCAGTTTATCTAGTGCAATCTGTGCCACCGGAGGAGGGGCTTACAAGTTCGAGGAGGACTTCTATAAGGTGAGCTGGGCTGATGAAGCTGTAGACACAGAAGATGGACATATCAGATATGGGATACAGATATGGGATAATGCTCCTATAGACAGCCTTCCATTTAACAATAACCCTTTGCATATAGGGGTACCAGCATTACATCAGTGGTTGTTATTGACAGCTGAGAGTTTATGCCTGTATTTGTGGCAAGGGCATATTTATGTAGGTGTATCTATGTCTGGTGTATGGAATGCTAGATCTACGACCAGAATATATCAGTTTGATAATATTAATTCATACCTGTATTTTCTCCCACAGATGGTGAGTCTTCGCCTGCACAAATATGACGAGCTTGAGTGCCTCCTAAAGGGCATCCACTACATCGACCGCTTCAACCCCTCCTTCGAGTGCTACTACTGGACCGACCCAGGCAACTCCCAGCTCTGTCAGAAGGTCCCTTTCGACTTCAGGAATCCGTATCCCTACCTCGTTGTCAATATTGGATCAGGGGTCAGCATCTTGGCTGTCAAGTCCCCTTCTGAGTACAGGAGAGTGTCAGGTACCAGGTGAGTGTGTCTACATGTCAGGGATCAGGAACTTGGCTGTCAAGTCCCCTTTCTTAGTTCAGGAGAGTGTCAGGTACCAGGTGAGTGTGTCTACAAGTCAGGGATCAGGAACTTGGCTGTCAAGTCCCCTTTCTTAGTTCAGTAGAGTGTCAGGTATATCATCAGATACCAGGTGAGTGTGTCTACAAGTCAGGGATCAGGAACTTGGCTTTCAAGTCCCCTTTCTTAGTTCAGGAGAGTGTCAGGTACCAGGTGAGTGTGTCTACAAGTCAGGGATCAGGTAGTTGGCTGTCAAGTCCCCTTTCTTAGTTCAGGAGAGTGTCAGGTACCAGGTGTGTGTGTCTACAAGTCAGGGATCAGGTAGTTGGCTGTCAAGTCCCCTTCTGAGTACAGGAGAGTGTCAGGTACCAGGTGTGTGTGTCTACAAGTCGGGGATCAGATAGTTGGCTGTCAAGTCCCCTTCTGAGTACAGGAGAGTGTCAGGTACCAGGTGTGTGTGTCTACAAGTCAGGGATCAGGTAGTTGGCTGTCCAGTCCCCTTTCTGAGTACAGGAGAGTGTCAGGTACCAGGTGTGTGTGTCTACAAGTCAGGGATCAGGTAGTTGGCTGTCAAGTCCCCTTCTTAGTTCTTGAGAGTGTCAGGCCCCTCGACTTCAGGAATCCGTATCCCTACCTCGTCAATATCGGATCAGGGGTTAGCATCTTGGCTGTCAAGTCCCCTTCTGAGTACTGGAAAGTGTCAGGTACCAGGTGATTGTTTACTTATTTCTGTGCTGCTTGTTTGTGTAGATATTTTAAAAGAGATGTCAATATCAATTATTACATTACCTGCTGTTCAGCCTGTCGACCTTCTCTTTTAGTCTGGGAGGTGGAACATTCCTGGGTTTGTGTTGTCTGCTGACAAACTGTGAGACGTTTGAGGACGCCATCCAGCTGGCATCCGAGGGAGACGCCACTAAGGTGGACAAACTGGTGCGGGACATCTACGGCGGTGACTATGACAAGTTCAACCTGAAGGGGGAAACTGTAGCCAGCAGGTACAGCACTGGTAGATAGGTGGTAGCACTAGTAGATAGGGAACATCACTGGTAAATATAGGGTACGGTTGGTAGATAGGTAGATAGGGGACAGCACTGGCAGATAGTGGACAGCACTGGTAGATAGGGGATCAGTGTTGGTAGAAAGGGGACAGTGTTGGTAGATAGGGGAAAGCAATGGTAGATAGGGGCCAGTGTTGGTAGCTAGGGGACAGCACTGGTAGAAAGGGGACAGTGTTGGTAGATAGGGGAAAGCAATGGTAGATAGGGGACAGTGTTGGTAGATAGGGGACAGCACTGGTAGAAAGGGGCCAGTGTTGGTAGATAGGGGACAACACTGGTAGAAAGGGGACAGTGTTGGTAGATAGGGGCCAGTGTTGGTAGATAGGGGACAGCACTGGTAGAAAGGGGACAGTGTTGGTAGATAGGGGACAGCACTGGTATATAGGGGACAGTCTTAGTAGATAGGTCTGATCGTTTGATATCAACCATTGTCACCCTTACTTCACTGTATTCCAGCTTTGGCCAGATGATGAGCAAGGACAGGAGAGAGACGGCTTCAAGGGCTGATCTGGCCAAGGCTACGCTGGTTACCATCACCAACAACATTGGCTCCATAGCACGCATGTGTGCTGTCACCGAGGTCAGTCATCAGCCCATATGAGTCACCAGTGACTTCTTAAACCAGAAGAGACCAATCAGTTGGCTGGGAATTATGTTAGTTGCATAGTCTCACTACCCTGAGATGCTTGCCCCAGGACTGAATCCTCCCCTACGTTAGACTCCCTCCACTGGATATCAGATTTACTCAAAATAAGATGGGGATGGTTTAACCAAGGCCAGATCTTCCCCGCAAGATTTCGACGGGTAAGAACTGGCCAGGGAATGTTTCGGCCTGTTACACAGGGTTAGAATTGGTCTCCAGCAACCCTGCTTGTAAGAGCCAACCAAAAGGATCAGATGGTCAGACTCAATTACTTGTATCCAATTAGATCGATGCTTATAATGTCAATCACTGGATTGTCTGGTCCAGACTCGATTATTTACAGAACACCGTCATATTGCTGGAATATTGCTGAGTGCGGTGATAAACAACACCAAAACTGGTGTACCTGGTCTGAACTGTCAAAATAGTACTGGAATATTATTGATTGCGAAAGAAAATTTCAGTGTGTTACTAGTTTTACGTTTAGAAAATGCCTACGTCGTTGTAGCAAATACATTATCTTTCAGAAAATCGAGCGTGTGGTGTTTGTGGGGAACTTCCTGCGAGTGAACACGATCTCGATGAAGCTGCTGGCCTATGCTATGGACTTCTGGTCAAGGGGGTCGCTCAAGGCTCTCTTCCTGGAACACGAGGTCAGTAGCGGCAAGATGTAGACAGTTCTGTGTAGATGGCAGTCTGTGTATGTTCCCAGACCTGGTGTATTCCTATCTGATGGTGTTCTGTCTAATGGCGTTTCATGGCTATTTCCAGGGATTATAGATACCTGTGTGTTGATGTTCTATTTGCCCACATTCTGTGTATGTTTTCAGGGCTGGCAGATACCTGTCTCTTGGTGTTCGATTTGATGGTGTTCTGTGTTTCAAGGGCTTTAAGATACCTGTCTCTTGGTGTTCGATGATGTTCTGTGTTTTCAGGGCTTGAGAGATACCTGTCTGATGGTGTTCCATCTGATGATGTTCTAACTGATGATGTTCTATCTGATGATGTTCTATCTGATGGTGTTCTATCTGATGGTGTTCTGTGTTTTCAGGGCTACTTCGGAGCTATGGGCTGCCTGATGGTGTTCTATCTGATGATGTTCTATCTGATGATGTTCTGTGTTTTCAGGGCTTGAGAGAGATCTGTCTGATGGGGTTCTATCTGATGGTGTTCTATCTGATGATGTTCTGTCTGATGATGTTCTATCTGATGGTGTTCTGTGTTTTCAGGGCTACTTCGGAGCTATGGGCTGCTTGATGGAGTACCTGAACCTGGGCCACCCCTGCAACACCTGAGACAAGAGTTGTCGCAAACCAGCAACATCTACACTGTTACTGCCAACGTCATGTCATGGGATAGCTGTTAATATACTGTGGAATAATTAGTTAATATACTGTACTGGTTGTGGGATAACTAGTTGATATACTGTACTGCTGTGGGATAACTAACTGATATACTATACCCGCTGTGGGATAACAAACTGATATACTGTACTATCTGTGGGATAACTAACTGACATACTGTACAGCTGTGGGATAACAAACTGACACTGTACAGCTGTGGGATAACTAACTGATATACTGTACAGCTGTGGGATAACAAACTGACATACTGTACAGCTGTGGGATAACAAACTGACACTGTACAGCTCTGGGATAACAAACTGACATACTGTACAGCTGTGGGATAACAAACTGACACTGTACAGCTCTGGGATAACAAACTGATATACTGTACAGCTCTGGGATAACAAACTGACATACTGTACAGCTGTGGGATAACAAACTGACATACTGTACAGCTGTGGGATAACTAACTGACATACTGTACTAGCTGTGGGATAACTAGTTGACATACTGTACAGCTTTGGGATAACAAACTGACACTGTACAGCTCTGGAATAACTAGTTGACATACTGTACAGCTGTGGGATAACTAGTTGACATACTGTACTAGCTGTGGGATAACTAACTGACATACTGTACAGCTGTGGGATAACTAGTTGACATACTGTACAGCTGTGGGATAACAAACTGACACTGTACAGCTCTGGGATAACTAGTTGACATACTGTACAGCTGTGGGATATCTAGTTGACATATTGTACAGCTTTGGGATAACAAACTGATATACTGTACTAGCTGTGGGATAACACACTGATATACTGTACTAGCTTAGGGATAACAAACTGATAAACTGTACTAGCTGTGGGATAACTAACTGACATACTGTACAGCTGTGGGATAACTAACTGATATACTGTACAGCTGTGGGATATCCAGTTGACATATTGTACATCTGTGGGATAACTAACTGATATACTGTACAGCTGTGGGATATCTAGTTGACATACTGTACAGCTTTGGTATAACAAACTGATATACTGTACAGCTGTGGGATAACTAACTGATATACTGTACAGCTGTGGGATATCTAGTTGACATACTGTACTGCTTTGGGATAACGAACTGATATACTGTACAGCTGTGGGATATCTAGTTGACATACTGTACAGCTTTGGGATAACAAACTGATATACTGTACAGCTGTGGGATAACAAACTGACATACTGTACAGCTGTGGGATAACAAACTGATATACTGTACTAGCTGTGGGATAACTAACTGACATACTGTACAGCTGTGGGATAACTAACTGACATACTGTACAGCTGTGGGATAACTAACTGACATACTGTACAGCTGTGGGATAACTAGTTGACATACTGTACAGCTGTGGGATAACTAGTTGACATACTGAACATGAAGGTTGATTTTACTTTACTGTGCAACACAAACACATCTTTTAACATGGAAACAAAGCTTGTCTGTTACCTTGGTGATTACTGATAGCTTGTTACTGATAATTATATGAGAGGAATCAAAAATGAAAATGTGACTAGTGTTACTTGTATTGCAATTATTTACACATGAGCATCCACCAATAACTGTTGGAGGTGAATTTTCTCAAACAGCATCCTCATCTGACGATGGTAGTTCCGAGGTAGTCTTGAGGGGCCAGATCTTGTTGATGATGTGTACAATATTAAGGAATATATAAGAGATATATTTTTTTATACGAAAGGTGCTTTTGCTTCCTGCAGCCGTGTATATTATTGTGGGTATATGTACAATCACAAATATGGCTGACATCCATGTTGATGTTGAAGGAAACAATGACAGTACGAATGTTTAACTGTAGTGTCAAATGTCTACACCTCCCAGCAGGATAATGTTGATCTCTGGGTGGGAGAAGAGTCCGTTGTCACATGGGATAGTGACATCGTTGTCACATGGGATAGTGACATCGTTGTCACATGGGATAGTGACATCGTTGTCACATGAGATAGTGACATGGTTGTCACACGGAATAGTGACATGGTTGTCACACGGAATAGTGACATCGTTGTCACACGGAATAGTGACATCGTTGTCACACGGCATTGTGACATCGTTGTCACACGGAATAGTGACATCCTTGTCACACGGAATAGTGACATAGTTGTCACACGGAATAGTGACATCGTTGTCACACGGAATAGTGACATCGTTGTCACACGGGATAGTGACATCGTTGTCACACGGGATAGTGACATCGTTGTCACCCGGAATAGTGACATCGTTGTCACACGGAATAGTGACATCGTTGTCACACGGAATAGTGACATCGTTGTCACACGGAATATTGACATCGTTGTCACACGGTATTGTGACATCGTTGTCACATAGGATAGTGACATTGTTTTTACACAGGAGAGTGTCTGCCATAGCAATTTTGTTAGATTAAAATGCAATCGCAAGTTAGAAATCATTGAAATCTTCCGTATGATTTTATGTATATTTTGTCCTTTGGTAATACTGAATACTAATGAATGAGACAATGTCGACAAGTATTTGTACTTAGTACCGATATTATGTTGTTCCCTACATCAAATGTTTTGTTTATTTACTCACGGGACACATGGTCTTCAGGATGAAGTCTAAGAAATAATTGTGGTTCATTTACCAGAGCAAAACAAAATTAGGTGACAACTCGAACCTTGTTGCCATAGTAACCACTGCCCATGAAGGACCTGAGAACACCCATGAAATATGGTAACACTGCTAAATCTAACTCTAACTCTAGCAGCCATTCACACGGGATATTGATGATTTTCTTTGGGCATTCAATATATTTATACCCTCTGTCCAGTGTATTGTGTTTTGTATACCGAGGTGTAGTTTTCTTTAAGATTAATTTATGTTTTGCTGTTTCAGGTAGCATATAACATATGTTTGTGTGCTGGCCCATGTGAGTCGAATGTCACATAACTTCATAACAGTGATACAGTAAACTACGGTTATAACGAACACGCTTATAACGAACTGACGGATATAACAAACTTAATTTTTGGTCCCGACTACTTGCTGTAGTCATGCTGTATATATGCTTATAACGAACTACGGTTATAACGAACTAAAATTAGTAGTCCCTTTGAGTTCGTTATAACCGTACTTTACTGTACTTGTTTAAGTTACAATAAGCGATATGTTGTACATCTGTGGATTATTCACTGCAATCCATGTACGTACAATGTCTGCAATACCTACCAGCCAAGACCTGTGAAGATCCGGGGTAGAATAGTTCTTCAACAAGCCATGCTTTCCCTAAAAGGCGACTATGCTTGTCGTAAGTAGGCGACTCACGGGATTGGGTCGTCAGGCTCGCTGACTTGGTTGATGCATGTCATCGTATCCCAATTGCATGGACATTGCTCATGATGTCAATCACTGGATTGTCTGGTCCAGACCCGATTATTTAGACTGCTGTCATATAGCTGGAATATTGCTGAGTGCAGCGTTTACAACAAACAGACAATCAAATTGGGTGTTCTTTAACTTCTTTTGAGTAGTATAATTGTATGATTACGCACACTGATTACCCAGGCATTAGAATATCACGCATTGTGAAGGAGACAAACAGTATCATGTTAAGTTGTCCTGAACTAATTGTTAATGAGTTATCCCAGTGTCGCATTTTTCGACGATATAGCATCCATGTCACCATTTAGAGAAATGAATGTATTGTAATATTGTGTGGCAAGCACAAATCATCAAATCAGATCGTTTTACTCACATATGATATCTCTCTGCATGTAGATCAAATGGCAGCCATAAATGACCCCTTCAGGAGAACCCAGAGCAAACTTTTACTGCCCATTCTCAGTGGATGATGGATTTTTGAGCCAACCGGATGTCAACTTTCTTAACAATTCAGCTTCTTTTCTTCACAATTCAGAACTTTGGCTTGAACTCTCATTTGGGCGTTGATGGCATTGCACTCAGAAACAGGACGTATATAAGATCTACAGTGACATAATGACAATTAATAATAATATACGTTCGGAACTGGTCATTTTTAGATGTTTTTTCGAGATGTCTGCATGCTTAGCTCACTCCTACAGAGACTCTTAAAGCCTTGGTTGTCTGATTAGAAAGTTCACGTGACGTGACCCCCCTGTGCAGGTGACCTCAGATCATCTTGCAGAGAAGAATCGTATCGACGTAAAGATCGGATTTGAAGACTGGGATCAAGCTTCACAATGTGTCGCTCCAGCTCAATATGATATGGTTGTGTATGAAATCCATGTTACATGATGGTCTTTGTGAAGGATGTCCCTGCATGGAGGACATATGAATGTGGGTGGGGCAGGTTATTGTTATCTTCCCAAGGCAAGGGAGTTCACTGATTCTAAAAGTACGGTTTCCACCCTTGCCGAAATAGACTGGAACTTCTAGGCTTGATTGTGGCGCCACCAGTGGCTATTACGATTTATGTCCCTTCTATGTCCCTCATTAACCAATCAGATTCTACCTCTCATATCACTTGCACTTGTTCACAACCTGCAGTCGACCAAAATCTGCACTTTGAAATCCATGATGTTTACAAACCGGATGTCGATTTTGTTATATGATTTTGATTGGATTATGCATAGACTCATTAGTCGAGCCAAAATATAACTCCATTATTCCAACCTAGTTCGGCAAGGGTGGAAAGTGGACTTTTACAGTCAGTTAGTTCCCTTGCCTCAGGAAGATGGTCATTGTAGTCTGAATGAGTATCAAACCTGTGCGTGGGCAATGTCCGTAAACACATAATATGCAGCAGTACATTTTTTAGCACTGTGCCTCAACATCATGACAGCAGTGCAGCAGCGTCAGTGCATCGCACAACAGCATCGAACCATCATCGCGACATCACAGCAACATCGCACAAACAGAAGCGGGGCATTGGTGCAACAGCAACTCTCTAATTGACACTGTGTACCTCATAGTTTTACCTGCTGTTGGTAGGACAAAGAACATATTTTTGTTAAGTGTGTTATTGAGAACATTGACTTCTGACTTCCCTTACGAGAAAGTCAGAATCACTCGTAAAATCTTCACCATTATCACATAATGTGAGAATTAATTTCATGATTCAGTCCTCAACATTATTTTAGGAGATTCTTGTACGTTAAGCTTGTTTTCATTTACTGCCCACATTATTATTATTATTATTATTATTAAAATTATTAAAATTATTATTATTAAGGCTGTTTAACACTGTTTAACAGTGTTAAGACTCTTCAAGAAGTGCTAGTTAGTGAGAGGTTCTCCCAAATTTATTGTTATATTTCCTGATGGCAAATATTTCCAGTTTTTGGAAAATCTCATATTGGCTACGGAACCATCTGAGAATATCAAATGCCATGGCCTATGAAATAAAGGCCCATGAAACCAATGGGATGACGTCCTGAGGGGTTTATGTGCACATTCAGCATCAGGGTATGCTACTGTTTGATGTGACTGTAACGTGTGGCTTGTAACGTGTGACTCGTATCAGTCAGTTTGACCTGTACATGATTAGGTTAGTAAGTTATCTGAGTGTTTTGTGATAAATAGCTACTGATATTTAATGTGTATAGATTTGGAATGTACATATAAGTTTATGATTAAGTTTGTTTGAAAAGGATGTACAAAGTTACGGTAGATGTGTGAAGAAACCTCTTACAATCAATTCTAAATCGTTTAATTCTTAATACCATATTCGACGTAATATGCACCCAGGGCGCTCTCAAAATTAGAAATACGGGCTGTTATTAGAATATTATTTTTCCAAAAAAAACAGAGTTGAAGGATAAATTTTGTGGTTTATGCTGACAACCTGAATTGTTTATATACGAGAGATATATTTTTCCAGAATTTAATTGCCCATAATTAAGGGTGCATATAACACACGAGTGCGTATTATACACAAATAAATAAGTATTGTGTACATTGATCAATCGGAAAGGGTGCTAATTTGGATTGTTCACGAGCCAATATATTAGCAAATATCGCCGTGGGCGCTTATTAGAGCAGGGCGCTTATTACGTCGAATACGGTAGTTGACCTATATTGTTCACTGTTTGTAAAGTAACGGTCTTTAGAATCATGAGTGAGATGAATACAAGGTGTGTGATGAAACCTGTTCCAAGCTAGGTTGGAGGAAGGGAGTCGTCTTATGTTTCAGTTTTTAAAGCTTGGTAGCCATGGTAATTGCACTTGCCATCAGGTGCATGGCCAGGCAGTGAGAGGTGCACCAGTCATCAAAGGTGCCACTTATGGGTCCAAATCCAAGATAAGCTCCCATGTTTCTAGGTTTGCCAGCTCCATACCCATGGGATTCACCATCATGGTAAACCTCAGAGACCTGGATCACGGGCTTCCCTCCCACAACAAGCTACCGTCAACACCACTTCACTAGACATTACCTCACTGTCCGTTTTCTGCTTCTGTATGTAGAAGGCAATGCTGAGATTGTTGGGAGAGCGTGTTGACATTCTGCATTTGAATATTGAACAGATTTTTGAAAATTAAATGCATTTACAAAACACATTCAGTGTCTTGACTCTTGCAGTTCTGAGACCTCTGGAAAGTTAAGCTCTTGCAGTTCTGGGCACTTTTAGGCACATTTGCATTCATCAGACAGGGTACCTACTTGTAAACATAGGTACCTACGTCTAGACCCTCATTGAACTTGGGACATAGGTACCTGCTTGTAGACCCTCATTGAACTTGGAACATAGGTACCTATTTGTAGATACTCATTGAACTTGGGACATAGGTACCTGCTTGTAGACTCTCATTGAACTTGGGACATAGGTACCTGCTTGTAGATCCTCATTGAACTTGGGACATAGGTACCTGCTTGTAGACCCTCATTGAACTTGGGACATAGGTACCTGCTTGTAGACCCTCATTGAACTTGGGATATAGGTACCTGCTTGTAGACTCTCATTGAACTTGGGACATAGGTACCTGCTTGTAGACCCTCATTGAACTTGGGACATAGGTACCTACTTGTAGACCCTCATTGAACTTGGGATATAGGTACCTGCTTGTAGACCCTCATTGAACTTGGGACAAAGGGACCTGCTTGTAGACCCTCATTGAACTTGGGACATAGGTACCTGCTTGTAGACCCTCATTGAACTTGGGACATAGGTACCTGCTTGTAGACCCTCATTGAACTTGGGACATAGGTTCCTGCTTGTAGACCCTCATTGAACTTGGGACATAGGTACCTACTTGTAGACCCTCATTGAACTTGGGACATTGGTACCTGCTTGTAGACCCTCATTGAACTTGGGACATAGGTACCTGCTTGTAGACCCTCATTGAACTTGGGACATAGGTACCTGCTTGTAGACCCTCATTGAACTTGGGACATAGGTACCTGCTTGTAGACCCTCATTGAACTTGGG